GAGGTATTTCTTGATGAAAACGGTATAGTATTGCTTATAAGACTATATTATGCGTGACGATCTACTGTATTCATATGTAATAATGTACCTGAGTGATTTTCAGACATTTCACATACCTCTTTGCTTTAATATTAGGGGAAACATTATTTCCCGATAGACAGGAGAAATATAGGGAAACTTAATTGCCCGGGAACACCGTAGTACCAAGCCGCTTGGAAGAAATGGGGCACACGCGAAACACCGAACAATGCCGCTTGAAAATCAAAAAACATAATTAAATCATTTGTTTGCTTTCAAAAGACTGAATTAGCAGTAAGCTAATTCTTACTGCTTTGATCGGCTTAGCCAAAGTAAGTGTACCTACGTAAACGTAATTGATGGCAGCATGATTTGGATTTTACTAAATCTTATACTGTGATAGAAGCTGACATAACAATAAACCGCATTTTCCAGCCTCAACTATTAGTTTTAATTTTGGGCTGTCAGTCAGGAGCGGTCACTGATGATGTCATTTGGCGCCGGTACCATTTTTTACGCCAGTGGAAAACCGACATAAAAGAAGTACCAAACTTTCGGCACTTTATGGAAGTACCGAAAGTACCGAAAGTACGGTACCTGGTGCGGTGGAAAAACGCCCTAAGTGATTCCCCCATAACAGAGCAACCGTGAGCTGAACTGTCGCATCTGCTGCAGTGATTTGGGGATGTTTTCAACCTGTCTGGCACAAATACAGGCAAGTGCCCACTGCTTAAACACCACATTAGGACGGGTAATCACCGTACTATGGAAGCCCTAAAGGGCAAAACACACCAACAAATTCAAAAACACACTAACAAATTCATAAACACATAAGCAATTTCAAAAACATGCCAGCAAAAGCGAAAACACACCAGCAAATTCAAAAACACGCCAGCAAAAGCAAAAACACACCAGCAAAAGCGAAAACACAACAGCAAATTCAAAAACACACCAGCAAAAGCGAAAACACACCAGCAAATTCAAAAACACACCGGCAAAAGTGAAAACACTACAACATTAGTGGTACTGAAAACGAAAAGGGTAGGTATATACTGATCATCACGTGCTTGTTACTGATTGGTCAGGGAGCCTGTCAATCAGTGTCCCAGCATCTTAAAGAAAGGGAAAATGTTTTGCCCTTACTGTGGCCAACGGTGTGACAACATTGCCAACTTTTGCAGTGCCTGTGGCGAGGTACTGAATATTTTAAAGGCGTCCACGGGGCACGAGAGGCCGGAGACAGTGGAGGACAGGCCCGCTGCTGGTAACGGTAAGTACACTTGAACTGGACGACTGGCTGTGTATCAACTGGTGACCGCTAATGTATCTAACAAACATGGCTAAGAGTAAATGTATTCTGTATGATGCCTAGTTCAATAAAGTGTGGCGCAGTCCTGGACCCCCTTCTCCTTACCAGAGGGTCAGTATAGTGCGGCGTGGGAAAAAAAAAAACATCTTTGAATGCGGGCAGGAAGTAACTAATATGTTTGCGGGAGCTCGAGAATATGGCAAGCTTCTGCAGGAAGCGCAGACCTCTACTCGGTACAGAGTAAAACAGGGTTGTCCGCTTTTAATCAGAATCAGAATCAGACTTATTTATTGAGTCTAAAGTGTGTAAAATTCACCAGGAAACGATTGCAATAATAAAGAATGCAATGTCAAATTACACTATGAAACCGACCACCAGTCTTTTAAGTAAGTGGATAAAAAAAGTTATGTGGTATATTGGGTGGAGCCTAAAGCTCTCCCCATCTATGACGTCATAAGCAGGAGGGGGTGTATCCCTTGTTCTGATTGGTTGAGGGTTATGTCCATATGGTATCATACATGCTTATGCCCAGGGACGGATTACGGACCGGGCCAGCGGGGCCGCTGCCCAGGGGCCCTTGG